CAACAGTGGCACTGTGAATGCTTACTGAAAGCAGGATTAGGCCTATAGTGAGCTATAGTGTCTGACAGCTATCTTGGTTCATGTACTGCAGTTGCTGAGCATACTCAGCTTGCAATCCTGAAAGATGCTCCAACAAGGCTTCTACCAAGTTTGTTGTGAAAGACAAGCTTTTTGTGAATTGTATTGGGGGACTCAAATTGTGAAGCTCTTAGGCAGGATGCTGGATAAAATGAAGCCCAACACATTCTTCAAATGTGAAGTATCAGTTTATTCAGAATAATATAAAATGAAAGAACAGCAACACTCAGCTTTTTTTACACTGTAAACCTATTCTAATGCTATGCTGGAGTCTTCTGTGAGGCCTAGGTGTTAGCTGTGATTATGTCTATTCTGTATGATTATTTCAAGATACTATTAGCTAGACGTATAGGGGACTGAAGATTTTAGAGCAATTTTTAGTTCAGATCTTCCAAGCTGCTATTACAGATGATACCCATGCAGGCCTGCTTGGAGGACTTTCCCACCTCCCAAAATTAAAAATGCTGGGTTAGGGCATCCCTCTTCTATTGTACCATCCTTCAATTCTCTTACCTACAGTTTTACAGCCTTGTTTCAAACTTTGTATGCCCTTAAGATTGTTTGAAGGAGATATGAATCCATAGGACTAAAGAAAATGATGCTGCTGTTTCAATAAGCTAGTCCTTCACAAAAAGACTACTTAGGAAAACATTCTTATCTCTGTAGTAGGCTACAAACAAACGGAGGAAACGCTTTGACAGCTGTAGATAACTTCCGCCCTTAACAGGAAGAAATAGGCTTGGCTCTTAATCTTTTATTGGCCCGAATTCTTGTGTGCTTTTGTGAAGACTTTCACAGGCAGCATTAGGAAGTTCAGTGTTTAGCATCTTCTGTCTGTGTGCTGAGATCTGGAATGTGGGCCCAGAAAACAGCTGGAAATGTAGACAAGGAAAGAACAGCAGTATGTAGCAGATGAAGTTGATAAATTAAGTATTTCATATAGTTATGTCACTTTTTCCTTCCCACCCCTTTAATCCAATCTAAAGGGAAAATAGAGGACCCAGATGAGCCCAAATTAGGAAAAGTTTGCACAGGGTTTTTTAGGATCATCTGCAAGACAGACTCAGGATCACTGGAATTCCTGTATTAGCACCTTGCTGGAGGTCACTGAAGTGGAGTTGTTTTAACACAACTCTTCCTATGTGGGCTCTGAAGGGCCAGGGAAGGTTTTCAGAACACAGTTCATGCATGTTTTTTGCAGTCATTAGCATCTATTCCTTTAGGGGTCTGTATCGCTGTATTTCCCTGCTTGTGCAGTGATCAATCTTGGGCAAATGTCTCTGCTGCTGCTGCCGCCATCGTACCTCCTTTTTATTGCCTCACCATTACAGATTAGGAATAATGTTTTCCTTCCTCTCACAAGGAAGGGAAGGCTTCTTTCTTCATAGAACAGCATGGAAAAAGAGGGAGAATTGGACCCAAAGACCAGAGGGACAAGGACTCTGCAACCTGGTGATTTCAAGGCTTGTCTATTTTCTATTGACACAGGACCAGAGAAAAAGCTTTGTGCAGTTTTAGATGCTGGTGTTCTGTTCTAGTGCTCTCTTCAAAAACTTTGTTTTTAAGAGGGGAATAGTGATTGGGTCAGTTTCATTCAACTGAGGAAACTTGAATAGAAAGAATATATTCCAAGGAACTTAAAAAATATTTTTTTTTAAAAAATCAGTATGTTGGTCAGAGTATTGTATGCTTTGTATTTAAAGCTCTAAACTTTAAGATATTTGTTATGTTTTAGAGATCTGCAGAGTGTTTTCATCATCAATCTCACACACCGTAACAGAAATAAAAGCTGTATCTATTAGGTATTGCCAGGTACATATAGGTATCTAAATATATGTATTTGTGTGCGTACGTAAAATGCATCCTGTCTGCAGATACTGAATACATCCTCTTTGGGTTTATGCTGTGACTTGAATACTTGGAGGCAAAGGTTCTGAATTAAGAAGAACTTATCTAGAATAGAGTGGAATTTACTGCTGTTGCTGTGTATTTTCAATGGCTGCAGTCAAAATCTGGCTGAAGTAATTAATTTACGAAGGATGGAAAGGAAAAGCAGCATGTGGAAGATGTAATTAATGGGAACATATAACAGTCAGCTTTCACGTCATAAATTGGCAGCTATGCCTGAGGTAACTGCCTTTTATTTTCAAAATACAGTTGGAATTTCCTAAAAGTAATTGCACATTTTCTTCTATTTCCACATGGTCCCAGAGAACATAGTACAGTACAGATACCAACAGGAATGCAATAAAAACCTGTTGGTGGTTGGAGTTTTTTTTGTTGATCTTTTCTGTTTCAGGATCAGGGCTATGATCTTATCTGAGCCAATGTCCAAAGGAAAGGAGGAATACACTTTAGCTCACATTTTAGTAAATTTTCATATGGAATAATCTAAACAGACAAGGCAGGAACAACCAGAATAAATAACAACAAATGGCTAGGTATCTATTTGCAGAACAGATTTAGCAATGCAACTCTCCTGACTCAAGTAAATAATGGTTAAGATACATGTTCTGAAATCCTTCCATTCTGAAGGCTTGAATTTTCCCCGCCTGAAAGTTTTTACTGCAGCTTTTCCTGAATAGCAAGCATGACATCACTTGTTCTTTAGATACACCACAGATGCTGGCAGATCTTCAAGAAAATGCATCCTGCCACTTGCCTAGTGCAAAGCCCTGGAAGGCTGCAGGTTGACACAACGGCTCCCCACACCCAGCTGCTGATTCAGCTGACTCGGACAGCTTGCTGGAAAAAAAATAAAAAACAACAACAAAAAAAACACCACCACAAACAAACAAACAAACAAACAAACAAAAAAAAAAAAAACAAAAAAACCCAAACCAAACAAACAAAAAACCCCAAACAAACAGCAAAAAAAACCCAAAACAAGACAAAAACAGTGCTGCAGTCCTCTCAAAATTTACAAGAGGAAGATGAGGAGGGCTTGCAACTGGGGTTTGCCACTGAGTCTAAACATACAAGCTACTAGACTTCTTAATTGCTGTTTTCAGGCTTCTCGATGAAGTAGAGGGAACTGCATGTTGTTCCTGCTGCTACCTGGCATATGTGATTCCACTCTGCAGACAGGTGGGGAGGCAGACTACTCACCGTTTAAGTGCTTTGTCTGTTTGGATTTGCTTTTGTTTTTAATCTGTTCAATTTGTTCGTTGTCACCCCTGATAATGGGGAGGAAAAGGGAAGTCCAGATCTATTCTATTGTGAGGGAGGAGGATCTAGCCCATTTTGTCTGTGAGTGAATGGGATCTACTAGTAACAACCTAGCATCTGAGTGAGTTCTAATAAGATTTACTGTGAGAAGAAGCTTTACTGCTGTTCAAAATGGAACAGCCTGAAGACCAGGAAATATAGTTCTCTGTAAAAATATTCCTGCTGTAACTAGACTCGGTATTGCTGACCCCAGGGGATCTTGCATTTGCTGCAGGCTGAGCCCGGTAGGCAGTTTGTTGCTGAACCAAGCCTTTAAATAGACAGCAAGTTTAAAAAAACTATGTCCTGCAAATTTTGTGCTGATGAATTTGGAATGATGTTCTAGCCAGCTCAGTACACTCCAAATTAATTAGCAAGGATCCTTTTAACAGGATAATTACTACATCAGCAAGTGGTAAACTCAAAATGAATGTGAGTAGTCCTGGCCTGCATCAACAAGGAAGAGTTGTATTGCAGTTGTACCAATTGATTCCAAATTCACCCTAGTGTGAAAGGTTTTAGACAGCGCAGCTGGTCAGCAGCAGCACTCTAGCTTTTTTTTACCTCTGGACTTGAATTAAAATCCCAAATGAATTTGCATTCTACTCTCCATATGTCTACCTCACAATGCCATAGCAAATGATGATTGGCTTTTTAAAAAACATCTGCTGGAAAACGGCCCAAAATAAGAAGAGCAGGAGGTGTTGCACATTATTACTAAAGTATAAATGGTAGAAAGGGCTATGAAGTATGAGACTTCCTTCTTTCTTTATGGCTATGAATTTTCTTCTTTCATAATGGAAGGACCTGATCCTGCATAGAACAGTGACAGCTCACAGGTATAAACACAGGTTCACATGTTTAGGGGCTGGAATTTTTAAATAGGTTCAGCTTTCAAAGAATAAACATGCCACTGCTTATCAGGCTATGGATAAATAAGTATATGAATGCTGCAGTGGTGACAAACATTTTTATTAATTCCCAAAATCAGAGTCTGTCTTTAGGTAGCTGAGGCTTTAGAAAATAAGGTTTAATTTGGAGTTTTTAATAAGGGAAATTACCTTAATTAGGTCACTTTATTTTTGTTAGATTTTTTTCCTATGCTTTTCCACTCTCTTAAAATGGATACAAATTTGTAAAAGCACCTTCCATATTATGTGAGAATATAATTTTTAGGAAGACTTTCAAAAATCACTTATCTTACTTTCAGCTTCTATAAGCTAAACCCAGGAAAGTCTTACACTGATCTAAAGTGTGTTCTTGGGAGAAATTAATTGGGCCCTATGTTGTTCACTCTAAATGTGAAAGTTGTAAATTAATAATTATTAGCCATTTCTTAAAAATGGATCGTGACACTCAACAGACCAATCTCTCAAGTGATTTCATGGGACCTTGTGGTGCTTTATGAAGTGTGAAGCACAAGCCCAAATCCTTTTGTCTAGATTGTCTTGTCAAACTTGTGCAGTGCTATTTTCTTTCTAGTTAGATTGTATGCCTGAGTCAGGCCACTTTAAAAAAAAAAAATCATACAAAATAGGGACATTTAAAAAATGTATGTCAACTGTGAGCAGTGAAACAAGGGGAAAAAAAAAAGTCTTTACAAATATTTTGGGGTGGTTTTGTTTGTTTGTTTTTGTGTTCCTACTGGTATAAACAGAAAGGCAAGCACCTCTATAGAAAATGCCTATGACAAATGCAGCTGTAATCTAATGATCTGTGGGGCTGCATTTTATTTTTATTTATTTGGAAAGCTTAGGTTATTCAGACCATGCAAGTCGTAAGAGACAGTCTTGTGTATGCAGTTTCATCGTGTTGCATAGTTTTTAAATGAATCCAGACAAGAATGAGGTAACATTTGAAGATGACTTCCTTAAATTTCTTGAATGAAAAATGTGTAGACATCACAGTAACAGTAGAAATCTGTTATTCCCCCTTCACTTACATGCCTGCACAGTTGTAGCTGCTGAAGTTGCTCCCATACACAGTGAACACATTGTTCATCACACTCTAGTTATAGCCCAACCATTTGAGCAATGCTAAATGCTTCTGGACTTCCATAATGGATAGGCTTGTCCTTCTATTCGAATATATGCAAGTACGTATGATAGCACAGTGCCACCAAATATTATTAGCAACTTTGTTGGTGTGCCAAACCTTTCTTGATACTACAAACTATGTCTATAAAATTCCTGTGGATAATATAATAAGGAACTAGTCAAAACCCACCATACAAATGGATAAAAGAATGCCCCACTTCTATGAATTTGCCTCAGAAATTCCCTCTACAATGCAGAAGAAATTATTAATCTCATGGTGGAAGAGATGATTTAGGCACTCAAGGTATGCTCAATCATAGAAATAGGTTAAGCCCTTCTGAAGAAGCTGTGGGAAATGCAACCTCTTTCAAGTCAGTACCTATGCTCGCTGATCTTCTGATGGAGCTTGGCCTTCCTCTTTTGGAGGAGAAGTAACAAACTCTTTCATTTCAGTATCTTGGTCAGCAGTAGTGTGAATACTAGCTTCGTAAGGCTCGCATGGGCAACAGCTGACTTCTCCTTTCCTGCTCTTCTGAAGGATGGTAGCACGAAAATCTAACGTTATCACTGCCAAACGATACAATTGTAGAGTCACAACTAAGATATTCTTAGCTGTAAAAAACACCAGCATCTGATTGAATATTCTGAAATGGCCCATCAGGATTGAACGCACAATGAAGAAGGGACCGTCCTGTATGAAAAGGCTGACCCCGATGTTCCACAGTTCTGCGCTGTACCTGCAAAGCAGCAGGCTGGGGATCCGCCTAGTCGATGCAGCTGGTTTGCAGCCAATATGCTGTACTGGAAATAAAACACAGTTATAACAATTTTAAAAATTGAGCCAGGGTTGGCCTAAAGGGCAGTTATAATCCAGGGTACCCTGGATTATAAATACATTCAGCTGTGAAGAATTCAATTTAAAGCATATCCAGTTTCTGGGATCTGTTTCAGCAAAACACACTAAGCTCTCAGGTTAAGCAGGCACTTATGTGGTCTGCCAAACAGGACCAAAACCCACTTCCCTTCTTCTATCCCACAAAGGTATCAGTATTTATATACTTTCAAAGCAAGAACCAGAAGTAGGTCACCTACTCTTTCTGTAACAACTTCCCAGATATTTTTCTGTTAAATCAGCGTGGTAGGATAGTATGTATCTTTAAAAGGAAAAAATAATACCATGCTGAATGGGAACAGCCTGAGCTGTAGCACTTCAATTTGTTCCAGGCTGACCTTGCTTTTAAAAGATTCACCAGATAGCCATTGCCTTTTTCATGTGTCATAGTAAGAATAAGTCATTTCAGTGCAGGTCAATATCGAGCATTATGGATAGGAAGAAACTGTGGTTGCTGCTTGTCATGTAAGAATTGAGCCACAGTTACTGATTCTTAGCCTTCTGGGTATGAAATTGCATGTGACTGGAAACTTGTGTGGATGTGTTCCCCTTGGCTATAAAAGTGGTGATGGGCTAGAACGCTCTTCGTGGGATCATCAGGAGGGTTTGTGTGTGGTAAATACGGCTGCCTCTTATGAAAATGCACGTAGCTTAACTAACTTCTTTCTCAGGCAGTGGGATTTCATTAGTTTAAAATACATAGCTACCTGTGATGCAGTAACAACTGCCAAACATTTCAGCTTATCTCGATAATTCTGTTTGAGTCAGTGCTGGGGAGGGAAGACTTAGTGGAAAATGAGTTGTAGAATGTAGAAATTTGCTGAATCCAGTAGGCAAAGCTTCAGCAGCAGCTGATTTTTTAACATGTTTGTGCCATTACTGTTTAATAGTCCTAAATGCATTGCTGTAGTCCAATAATAAGTGCCTAAAAGTTTATATTTTTGTCATGTTTTTGTGAGGAAACCTTCTGATGTTTGAAGAAAAAGTACTATCTGTGCAACTATATGGAACTACCTAAAATAAACTCTAACTGTAGTAAATTTCAGGACAATGGGTGTTCAATAATTTAATTTTTATCTGGTAAATATAATGAAATAATCAGGAAAGCAATAGCCAGAGAAAAAAATGCACAGTTCAAGAGGTTACTTCACTTGAATTAATGATATGATTGTTTAAGCACTGTTTGAATTTATTTGGGTGGTGGTGATGTGTACACGGGTGTTTTTGTTTGTGTTGGTTTTGGGCTTTTTTTGTGGTGGTGTTTTTTGTTGTTGTTGTTTGGTTTGTTGATTTGGTTTAGGTTTTTTGTGTGTTTGTGTCTGCTTGTGGTGTTTTTGGTTTGGTTTTTTTTTGTTTTTTTTTTTTTTTTTTACACCTGAGCATTGTGTATCTTTAAAAGGAATTTTAGCTGTGATAAATCTGAAATGTGGTTGCATCAGTTTTTTCAGATGGTGAGCTGCTGAGCTGAAGTATTTTCATAACCTCAGTGTTAAAAACAAAGCTTATTGCTGTCCATGAAGAAAAGGCTAATGAAAAATTCCTGAATTTTTTTCATTATTATGCTTTTATTATTTTAGTCAGTGTGTTAACCTATTCATCAATTTTATAGAAGATGCTAATGAGGATAACATATCTTTGGACTGGTACAATTGAGTTGCAAACTTGGAATGATTGGAAGACAAACCATCTGTTGAAACAGATGATTAAGACAACTTTCGTTGTTCTTGGACATAGAGAAGTCCCTTCTGCCTGGGGACAAATACAAGCCTGAGTTGGTTGGATGTTGGGCCTGTAAGATAATGGTGCATAGTCCCAACATTACATGGTCCTTCAGGTTCCCTGTGAATAGGTAATTTCTCATGTGATAACATCTGTGCTGTTCCCTATGGTTAACAATCTCTTATTTCTCCATAGGGTCTAGTAAACTACTTGGATTCAAGCCATAATATAATCCAAGACCAGATCTAACTTGAGAGCTCACATAGTGAAGTTTAAGGCAGTAACAGGCAACTGGAGCAGATGCTCCAATACAAAATTGCAATTCTAGTTGTTTTCTGGAAATAGTTTTATCAGGGAGATCAGAGGTTAGCCAGAAACAAGTGTTTACTCAAAAGAAACTGCAATGGGCTTTCCTCAAAAACCATCACTGTCATATGAATTGCTCTCTACCAGAAGTTTTTGGTATAGCCTGTTGTGTGTGCACAACTGCAAGACATGCCAGCAAAAACTTAAAGCATTTGATCTCTTTTCTTGTCTGTGTGCGAGTACTAACCTGCAAGATCGAGTGGAAACTGTAACATACTCCAGGTCCATACAGCAAGAATTGCATTTATGAGAGCATAATTCTTCCTATGGGAGGGGAAAAAAGTGATAACAGTGAAGATGCAGTTTCCTTATGTGATAACAAAAATGTTTCCTGGAGTATTTAGAATGTCATTTGAAGGGTGGTTGAGTGAAACAGTGGTTGATTAACGAATGCTCTTGAGATGTAAGACTAGGGAAAACAGAGGCACCTTTTGGTATGGAATTTTTGCTGTTCAGTCTACATGTTCCAGCTGTGTAATTACACTAAATATCTGATGCTAACATTATAATGATAAGCATATGGAAATAGACTGTGGCTCAAAGAGGAGATATCTTTACCCTTGTAGTGATTACAAATTCCTTGCAAGCCTGAAGCTTCTCTGCCAAGTGGGAAGGACCTCTTTTCCTACTGTAAAACATTTTCTTTGATATTAAAAAAAAAAAAGTATGTATGTAAGAGAGGCTGAACCTCTTCTGTGATTCTTTTTCTTTATGATGGATGTTCACAGCTCATCTCTGTGCTGTGAAGGGAAGATGAGCTTACTTTCTCTGGGAGAGATCAAAATGTTGAAAATTCATACCAGAAGACTATGTCATTCCCTTTCTTCTTATCTTTGAACACTTTGTCATTCTATCATGGAGAAAGTACATATGAGAGAACCAAAGAAGCAACGTGGATAATGAATCACTAAAGCAAAGTCTACTTGCTTCCTTGCCAGTCTAAACCAATTCATTAACCTGAAAGAGGCTTACTGTGTATCCACTTTCAGCTCCTGTAGTTTTAAGAACTGGCTCTCCACAGCAGTTATGCTAGTTGCTTGGCTCTTTGTACACTTTTATTGTGATGGATGTGACATGCTTCTCTGCTGGCAACAGATGAGTAATCCTTAACAAATCCCATAAGGCTGTTAGGTCTTTTACAGAGGGAAAGGTGAGAGTAGACAAACAGAGCCCTTGAACATAGTCTTCTGTTATCTGTGGGAAATACCGTTCCACCAGTCTGAACGCCGCAGATTGTGCAGACAAGCCTTCAAACAAAATCAATATCTTGCATTATGCAAATTATTTATATCAACAAATAGTCCTTACCGAACATCTTCGATGTCCAAGGTTTCACTAGCAAATTCAAGTATATCTGCTGCTGTTCCCACAAACATGAGAAGCAGTTGAGACAATTGATCCCGGGTGATTTCAACTCCAATGGGGAGAAGCCATCTCCCAACTACTAGTAGCAGTAGAAAAGTCTGGTGGAGGGCCAGTGTCCATACGGTCTCACAGATTGTGGAGAGCTGATTCACAAAGACTTTAGCCTGTTTAAAAGACAACAACATACTGTAACTTCAGGAGACTTGATTCATCCTTAAGCCTGCTTTTGTTTTTCTTCACATTGTATTAGAGCAAATCATTTCTATGTGGCAAGCATAATTTGAAAAAGGCACATTAATACAGACTTTGGGTAATGAATAGAAATTCTTTCTCTGTGTACTACTTCTGTTCTTATTTTTAAGCTGAGCATTATCCTTTGCAGAACCATCACCCAGACACTTTCTAAATTCAGTTACTGAGGTTTGGAAGAGAATGGTAGGAGAGTCTCCTCTTCACACAGACACTTGTCCTACCAACACTAGTTAGTATGCAGCACGCCATAAGCCATTTTCACAATGCAATTTTCTGAAACTATTATTTTCTTTCCTTTTCTAGTTTTACTTACTGTGTGAGAAGCTTGCCCAAATAGACCCAACAGCCCTCTCTAAGTGCTTTAATATCATAAGATCTCTACTAGGAATAGGAAAAAGTGTCCCACCGTCTGAATGATGTGGTGATCTGTTCCCTCGCTTCCATGGCTGCTGTCTCTGGATTGATTGAAGTCTTGGTTGCTGACATTCACCTGAACTGCTCCGGGCTCATTGCCACAGTACTGTTGTGAACAAAAACATCACACATGTATAAACATCCCACACAGGGACCAGGTGCACTCTGTGGCTGAGTCCTGTTTTACTGAACTAAAGAAGGTTCATTTGTGGAAGTTGTTCGATGCTTACAAAGGTACATGATCACTCTGAATGTAATTTCCCTCTTGTTTAGAATGGAGGAATTCCTCTCATGAGGGCAGGAGTGATGTGTTGGTAGGTCCCTAGGGTAAAAGTTGGTCATGGTCAGTCTCTATATTTAAACTTGTTCTCAAAATATCTGCTTCTCATGTCTACTATCCATAAAAAGTTCTATAAAAATGTTTTTGATTCATTCTTCTGTATGACTTCCCTCAAGGCTGAAGTGAAGAGAGTTGGTGTAGAATGTTTGGGTTGTATTCTTTGCTGCCTCAACACCCCCACTCTAGTTGTGCCTTATTCTGCAAGGAAATTCATAATGTGTGAGGTGAGATTGAGGAATAATTAAGAAAAATGGGCCTGTGTTATTGCCTACGCCCTGCAGAGTAGAAAAAAAATGGGTATTTTTACTTTTTCCAAGTAGCCAGTGCTCTGGAAAATTGAATGTTGGCTAGAACATTGTTACTTCAACTGCAGTAAACCAGTGGTGGGACTGTGTCCCATCTGAGGTCTGCAGCACTTCACTGCCCTTCTACCTTCACACCCAAGGTTGGCCCCCAAGCAACTGGGGTATGGGCTTAAAATCTATCTTCATAACAATCCCTTAGCATCTCTCTTCATTGCAATAAAAAAAAGGGATAATTAGAAAATCAAACCATGCTGTTATTAAAGACTTTTATCCTCTCCTATTTTTCCAGAGAACACCAGCTGATTTGCATTTTTCCACTGAGCCCCCCACCATTTTATTGCACAGGGAGTGATTTTCTGCAACAATCAAAATGTGTCCTAGTGCATACTGAGTAGCTGTGTTCAGCATAATGCTTGCCAATATAAAGGCAACATTTTCCAGCAAATGTCACATTCTAGCAAATTTCAAATTCCACTTTGATACTTTACTTGGTGTCTGATAATGTTGCTCAGTGTCTGGGCAAATGCTGCCTCTTGCTTGACCTCCTTATAGATAAAAAATACAACTCCTCGTGGTCTGAAAAATCTGGGAAAAAAGTTATTGCTTGTTGCTTTTATAATTGGTAGTGAAGGCTCTTAAACCTAATGCTTGCCTTGTTTGGACAGTGGCTGTGAGTGCTGAAAGATGGATGCATGTGTGGGGAAGATATTTCCATTCGGAAGAGGGAAGTCTAAAGTTCTGGACAAGGAAACAGTGAGATGGAGGGGCTGGTACTCTGCTGGGCTATAGCCTTGGGGGGGCTAATCTCTGGGTTAGCCTTTCAACCAAAGGGGAGAGAGAGAACAGCTTGTTCAGAAAGTGCTTCAGAAATTAAACTTCACTGGTGCTCTGGAGAAGCCTTTCTGTCTGTTGCCTGTCAAAAAAGTCTAAAGCCTCCAGAGGCCAGTCCCCAAGGTCCAAGTCAGCCTTTGAGTAACCCCTACAGACAGTGTGACACAGTTGAGTGAGACCATGACCTAAAAATAATGCATAACTGGCATAACCACCCCAGAATACCAAGAAGTGAGTATCTACCTTGTAAGAAATAGCCTGGGTAGGGCAAAGGGATTGCCAACTTGCGCTGGAGGAGGAAGGCTAACTCACTTCAACAGCCTCTTTTTTTGTCATCAAGTCTGCATTTCGGCATACTCCTCTACTCCCTTGTCCAGTCTGGCAGGAGTAAGAGGAAGGGATCTATGAACTTGCATTAAACTTCATGTCAGAGTTTGGGGATTTTTGTTTGTTTTTCAGTTTGTTTTTTAAAGCCCTGTTTCTTGGGGATGAATTTGCCAAATTTGAGGCGGGAGCCATGTAGGGCAGCCTGCTGCATTTGCTGTACATTCAAGGATGGTGGAAAACCTTTCCCAAACGCTCTGAGAACTCCCAGTAAGTAAATTGGGGGACTGAAGGAGAGGAGTGAAATAAGAGCCTGTTGCAGTTATACTGTGTGGGTAGTGAGGTGTATGGGTGCTGCTCAGCAGATGCCATGGCCCTCTCCGTGCCAACAGTGGAGAGCAGATAGCTCTCCTAGTAGGTCTGCATGGGGCCAAGGAGCCGTGGGAGTCAACCACTTGCACCACTGGAGGGAGGTGGAGGAAAGCATACCACATCTTACATGTGGCTTCCGAGGGGGCTCCTTTTTTTTTCCCTCCCCCCTGCCCCATGGCACAAAGGTGTAGAGAGCACTTCTTTAAGAGAACTACTTCAATTCATCATATGTAATATGTAACTACTTCATTCATTATATGTAATTTTTGCAACTATTCCCAGCTGAGTTGGGAGTAGTTACTATTTCAGTGCAAGGCTCCATGAACTCTGAATGGCACTCCTCAGGGCCAGGACCGTATCTTTTCTCAATTGCATGCAAGCAAGAAATGGAAAACTGTATCTGCAAAGCCAGTCATTTAAGTAAGCCCCTGTTTTTTAATTTAAGTATGTTCATATCTTGTTTTGGTTTGCTTCTCTCTGAATATCTGTTAAGTGGTGATTGTGATGGTTATTCACTTGGAAGTTTGGAGAAGAGCCTTTATTTTCATCATGTATATGCATGTAAATAGGACTGTTTATGCCAGGCAGATTTTCCTACCCAATTACGTATACGCAGTGACTTAATGGGAATGTGACAAGGAAAAAGTGAATACCAAGTTTCACAGGCAGTTGGTAAACGTAGGTTACCTCTCTACTGTTAGATCCCAGTTACTCCTAGATATTGAGACTGTGCAAAGCGAAACAAAAATACCTATTTTTTTTTTTATTGTGCAAAAAAATTAAATGGGAAGAAATTGTACACATTTTGCATTAATTCTATCTTGGTTTACTTTTGTTTGTTCTGAGATGAAGCTTACATTCCCCTGATTTATAAAACATCTAATCAAAACAGAAGCTCTGTTGCATGACACAGTGCTGTCCTAGTGTGCAGCCAGCAGAGAGCTCACTGTCAGTGCATGGGGAACTCCTGCAGCACTGAACTTATTCAGCAAATCTCTCTTTGCATGTTGTTCCCAGTCCATTATTTGCAAATAAAAGCGAGGTTAGCTAAAAATTCTCACAAGGGGTCCATCGCTGAGACGGTAAAATTGACACTTGAATACCTGGGCAGAGTCCCCTCAATCCTGTTTAACGCCAGCGCGTGAGGGCTGGCAGCCCGAGAGTGCTGTGGAAGAGGTTAGCCCTGCCCTGGAGCGGGCCATCTGCCAAGCAGCAGGTACCCCGCTGGCTCTCTGCAATTTGCTGGAAACCGTGTGGCCATCGCTACAGCAACGTGCGTGATGTCAGAAATTCACAGCAACTGTGACTGCTTCATTCTGCTCATACAGGAAAGCTGAAGTGTAAAACGGGGAGAAATGATTGCTGAAGCTGTTTTCCAAGTTGAGGAAGATAATGGGTGTGGAAGGGAAGAAATGGTGCAAGATGCAAGATCGCTTTTAGGAGAGGGATATACTAGAATTTTATCTGGTAAGAGAATCCCACCTCAAAATGAGGCTGAGGGAATAGGCAGTAATATTCACGGTTTCCTTAAAATGTTCAAGTTAAGGTGGTTAAAAATAATTACGAGGTTTACCAAGCATCTGTTTTATTCCTGACTGGGAAGCCTACACTGACTACAGCGCTGATAGCTGGGTGAGCCCCACGAAAGGTGGTCAGTTATCGCTTTCTGTGGCAGTGATGCACCAGGCATTTGAAAAGGTAACAGAGGTATTTGTTTATCTGAGATCTTACACACTGTTAAGAAAGAATGTTCGGGTTTTTTAATTGATTAAATAGTTTTAATTTTCTTGCCACTCTGTTTTGCAGTCAGCATTTTTTTTCACTCAGTACAGTCCAATTTATAGTCTCTCCCAAACATGTATTTCATCCCCAAATACTTTACTGCAAAGCAGTAGTTCCTATGTAGTTAGTATTTCACCACTGATATATGAATGGTATTACTTATGTCCAGTTCTGCAGCACTCACAGGCAGAATTGCCTCTGTCTTCAGGAAGAGAGACTCCGTATTAGCACGTGCCTTAAATAACAGCACCAACACAAGCAGTTGATGTTTCCTGTTCAGAGATTCAACATGAGAACCAAGTTCTACTGCCTTAAAGACCACAAACTGTTTTCACAGCATACATGTCACATGTGTGGATCTAGCAACTGCATAATTACTCATTCTGTTAGTATTTTAATAAGAAAAATCCCAGAAATACTTTAGTATGAAGAGTAGTACCAGTCTGGGGGCTGTATTTGAGAATAATTGTTAGGAGAGCCGCTCCCCTTCTGGAGGTATTGTTTTTGAATCTATTAGATAGAGTTCTGGAAACACACAATCTTATCTCTCCAGGTATAAACTAAGCTGTTAACTTGATATACTCCCTCTTTAATTCACAGTAGCAGTATATCAATAAGAACAAAGTATGCCATGTTCTAACATCATTTTGGGAAATAAACTGCTGCCTTTGACTACAGAATTAGCCTGTTTCTTGGACCAGATTTAACTATGACAAATGTTCTCAATATCCACATTACCTGTCTGTGGCTGTTTAAGGAGATTTGGCAAAACAAGAAGACAATAAATTCCTGCTGCTGTATTTAGAAAAAGCCTCGGGCATTTTCAGTGTAAACACAATTTTGAATATTTGATTATGCTTCTGTGGGCTCTAACAATATTTTGGAGGAGAAAATGAGGCACTATGTCTTCTTAGTCTAATTTATGTATTTTCTTCTGTTGCTTTTTGCTCTTGTTCCTATCAGGCACTTTTCTGCTGCGGCTGTAAGGTACTGCATACGTACAAATGCTGGGACAGATAAAATCTCCTTTTCAGTATGTGGAAGTGCTATGGGAGCTTAAAAGCAGCCTGCATGGGGAGATGGCTCACTCAACGTAGGCTGCTGGGATAAGTGGCTCTGTCCTGGCTCTGACTGACTCCACCTGCCAAAAGAACAATTGTCTTCAAAAATTTTACTGTGTGTTTTAGTCCTGAATTGGAATCCAGACACCCCCTCCCAAATTACTATACAGCATGAACAAAGAAAGGATATAAACACTGACAAATTACCGTGTCAGCTATCTGTGGTAGCAATCTGTGAGTATTCTCCTAGGTTGCAGCAAGCACGAAGTAACTTAAGACCCCTTTCACTAATACCTGTCTCAATTTAGGCTTGCTTGAAGTTGTGGTATCTGCCTGTAAGTGCCGTGAAACTCATGCTTTATTTTACAAAGGCCTCTAAAGCAATAAGGTTCTTTTACCATCCTGAGCAAGATTCAAGCTGGTAACCTGAGGGTGAGAGGGTGTTTTTCAAACTTCTAGGCCTTGGTTCCCTAGCCAAATACAAATAAATGGTCTCATTTTAGCTAGGAATGGGGCTCATGATTGGGAAATATACAGTATTCCATATTATAACTGGACCTGGACTGGGAGACCCACCAGTATAAAATAGAAAATTGGAACAAGACCTGGCAGATCTGTCTGTGTGCCCAAATCCAACCCATCAAACAATGCATCAATTTCAAACTAGTCCATCTTCTCTCATAATAAATACCTGAGTGCCATGATGAATTTCTAGTAGCCATAGTGATGGTACTGTGCAAATCAGATATAAAAATATTGCTGGTGAAAACCTGTGAAGGAAAAGAAAAGATAGCTTGCTATTATATCACATCATAAATACCATATATCCTATCATTATTTGCATTGGAAAGTATCTTGTGCCTCCTACCGTATGAGGTATTAAGAAACAGGGTAACTGCAAATAAGAATTGCTATTCTTGCTGAATTCCTCATGCTGTCGGTATTGTAAATCATAGGTTTATTTGTACATCCAAGAGCATATATGGAAAGTTATTTAAAATACCTTTTTAAGAACTAACCTATGACACTTTGCTGTTTGTATTTCCATCACAGCATTCTCTGTATTTAAAGCAACAACAAAAAAAAGCCTCTAGCTAACATGATTTCTCTGATTTCATGAAGGGTGAATTAATGTATTGAGTCATTTCACTAAATAATGCTGGAAGAAAGGCTGGTGATCAGAACCCTGTGCATTGACACAGGAAAGGTAGAAATAGCATCAGTTTGTCTAAAACAAGCATTTCTTCAGCAGGAGGTTTTTCAGTGCAGGCTAAAATGGCTTATGAAAATGGGTCTTGGCTTTTTTTCCCCATTGTACTTGCAATTGTATAATTCTTTGGGATTTCTGTCTCTAGTTCCTCTCTTCCTGCCAGTCTCCTGTATAGCTTATGATGGTGAAGCTCTATTATCTTCAGCTTCTTGAGCTCAGTTTACTCAGAAGTACTAGAGAGGTTCCATTATTCCTTCTGCAAGCGCTGATTCTTCTGAGAGTTGCAGATGTTTTCTTATTAAACACATGACAGTTTTGTTTGGGTAGGTGTTTTTTTTTTTTTTTTGGCAGTTCTTATCCTTTGGAAGTAGAAATAAGATCTGATGCCACTGATGTTCCATCTAGATGTGCTGTAGTATGGAGTGAGCATCACTGTAATGCTGCTGAGACACATCGCGTGTACTGGCCCAGGACAGGGCAGTGGAGTCAAACTCGGGATGCTTGCTTGATTCCTTCTATCCTGTCAGTGGCACATTCTGCAGTGAATTTAACTTGCTTATAAGTATGTAACTGCAGCAACATTCTGGTCAAAAATTGTTGACGTTTCTTTTTGTTCCTATCTGGAATGTACCTTTATTTTTCTAATCATGACTTTTCCAGTGGAGATTAAGTATTGAGGAAAAGAAAAAAAAAACCCTGTTGCTCAGGTAACTGACTGGATAGCTGAGCTGCTATGAAATATTTCAGTCAATCCCCTCTAAATAACAGTCATGGGTCTTGTTGGTTGGCTGGGTTGTTTTGGTTTTTTTTTTTTTTGTTTGTTTGTTTTTTTTTTTTTTTTTTTTTTCAGGGGTGAGGTGGTGGTGGTGTTTGTTTTGGTGATGGTGTTTTTTGTTGTTTGCTTTTTTAGAGAAAGTTAGTGATTCTGTGGGGTTTTAGTCTGGTTATTTTGGGAGAGAACACACCTCTCATTTGAATGGGAGAACTAACATATTTTACAGTATTTCCTGTAGGAGCACATGAAAAATCCATCCAGCTGGCAGGTTAGCAATACTGAGCTAATGACACCAGATCGGTCCAGGAGACTTCAGGGGCTTAAACCCTGCCTTTCTTTCAGAAGGAACAATCTAGAGGAAGTATTAAATGGCCAGGCCCACAATAATACTTTTTCTCCATATATGCCATTTATTTTTTTTGTGCTGGTGTAGTAAGTAACAATCTTCTGTCAATAATGAATGGAAAAAATATGAGGCTCATGGAGGCAGGATAGTCCTGTGTCACGGGCTGCCCATTGCCTGGATCACTGACTGTCTGTGGAGGCGTTTCTATAAATGTAGATGCTGCTGCCTGTTCTGAATGTGTTTTCCACCAGAGCAGGAAGTTATCCTGACGCAAATAGGTGCTGGCCACTTGCCTACTGTTCTTACCTATAAACGTACTTAACTGTGCTGCTTAAAGTGCTGGATGACATCCATTTTCAAAATTTAATTCTAGCTAAATTTAGCCCAGTCTTTTAGCACATATATTCATCTAAAATGGCTCTGTTTTCTGTATCTATTTTTCTTTGGATTTTCCAAAAGCTGCCATAGCAAGTGTTCCTTCATGAAGTCTCTGCTGCTCTCTCCTCTCCCCAGTAAATCTGGTCTGCTCACTCTGCCTCCGTCTCATAACTGTGCATTTGGAGCTCTGCTGTTGTTGAATTGTCCTGTGTCCCAGACTTTATCACTGCTTTTATTACCTTCAAATTTAGAGTGTGGAACACTTGTGTGAACTGTCACACAACACTGCTTCTGTTATAATGAGTTTCACAGGTTGAAATGGGCAGGAATTTAAGAACATTGAAATACTTTAGAGCGCTTTTTCATCCTGGACTTGTCTTGGATCATGCCTGCAGTTTGAATTCTTAAAAATAAAAGGTCCTAATGAAATCCTGACAATTAGTGATATGAGTACTTCCTTTTAACAGAGCATTTGTTTTGGCTGACTGTCCACTGATGAGCTGTAGATGACTGTAGTAATTCTTTAGATGCTTGTAAAAAGCCATGTGCTTGGGCAAACTCTGCAATGACTAACTTTTTGTTTATTTCTCAGGCAGCCTTTCATGCATGAAAGTTCCCCTCTGGAATAGCCTCTCAAATTCAAATCCAAATATTTAAGCTGCTCTTGCTGTACTGCAAGACTGATTGCCACTCATCTTTTATTTGTCACCGAGTTCTGGTTCAGTCACCAGCGTGGCCTTAGCGAGGTTAGAAGCAGCAGGGCTGGGGGATGCAGACCAGGGCATGGCAGGATGGGTAAGAGGTGCAGGGCATCCGCGTGGAACTGCCTGCGTGGGCCCCCTAACACCCTTCTGCCCTTCACACGTGTAGTCCCTGACACGATGTTGCTTCGGAGGTGCCCGGCAACGCTGTGAGGGGGTGTGTGGCCCCCCTGCTCCCCAGCCCACCGGGTCGGCAGCCCTACAGCCTGGACCTCTTTGCCTGCAGCCACATTTCCCACATTTTTTAGCTGTTAGTATGGATACGCGCACAGAACAGTACAGAGTGGCTCCCAAGTAGCCTGCTGCAAAATGACCCCTCCTGAAAGCCCTCTGGGTTTGGCAATGGCCTTGCCAGGGCTTTACCGGTTTCCCCCCACCGCCACCCCCCCAGGTGCAGCAGGGGAGAAAGCGCAATCCCCTGAAAGCTTGGCAGAAAGAAAGCCAGGGCAGCAGCCGCAGAAGGCAGACTCGCATCTGCAGCGAAGCACATGCAAAGAAGCAAGAGGGGCTTCCTCGGAGCCGGCGGGATATGCTCACCATTTGTAGCCTCTGCCTTGCTTAAACTTGAGGGTGAGCCCTGTCTCCAGGCACAGAAGAAGATTGAGCAGTGCCAGCAGCCAGTACTTGGGTTCTTTCTTCACTGCAGTCACTCTCCAGACCCCGATGAGAGAGTGCAGCACAAAGAGCAGGCGGGTGGCCAGGGCATTGAGCAGCACCATCAGCTCCATCCCGGAGCAGCCCCCTCCCCTTCTCCCCGCTCCGCAGGGACCCGGCGCTTTTCAGGAGCCCTGGGAAGTTGCCCTGGGAATCACCGGGAAGCCTCGCACCACAGCCACACAGATCTCTTCTCTTCCATCTCCACAAAGGGGCCCATTATAACAAAAAAGAAACGGCATCGCCCCTCCCCCAGACTTCCTGAAAACTTTTTAAAGGGAGGAAAAAAAAAAAAAAAAAACAACACAACTCCTCACGCTTTCAGGCTACAGTGGTTTGTAGCACCCTGTACAGCTCTGACCACGCTAGGATGGGCGTGAAGGGTTTCCTCCTGCCCCCTCTCTCATCTGCTCCAGGACAAAACGGCAGGGAGATTTCCATCTCGCAGGGTTACCATCTCTCTGCTAGCCCCACTTGCTGCTCTCATCTCATAGATCTCTACCATTAGAGAGAGAGGGAACATAGCAAAAGAGACAAAATGTAAGAAGCGTTATTAATTTGAATCTTCCTTGCTAAAAGCTCTGCAGCATTACTGAGCCTGCAAAATTCTCTTTCTTCTCCCCTCCCCCTGAAAGGTATCGTTCATATTTGGGATCTTTTAAAATGATTCATTTAACATTGCAATACAGAATCATAGAATTGTGGGATGGTTTGGGTTAGAAGGGACCTTTAAAGATCATCTAGTTCCAACCCCCCTTGCATGGAAAAGCAGAAACTGTGTACTTAGTTCAATACTGGGATCTCTGTGTGCAACAGAAGTTAAAAAATCTAACCAGTAATGAAATCTAGTCAAACTACTACATTATATGATCCATACCCTGCTTCAGGACTAAGAAGCAGCCCCAGTGAGGAACTCCAGAAATCGGGCTGAAATCTGAGCTAACAGTAACGTTACTGAATAAGCTAATAGGGACATATACAAAAAACATACAGAAGTTTAACTGTTAGGTCAGTTATGTCCTGACTGACCTTTAGCATCTTCTTCAGGAACAGTTTATAAAGTACAGAGTATGTTTAAAAATTGCTTTGATGTCTATTTTAGTGATTATAAATTTTATTTTAATTTACACTTGGGTAACCAAAGAGAAATTTCTTCTTGATTAAAATTTGTCACTGTGGTGCTCCAGTTTTGTGTTATTTTACTTTCAAAGTACTTCAATTGATATACACCATTGTAAAATACAAACTGATAATCAAGTGCATGTAATGTACTTTGGTGCTCCAAAGGTCCTAACTTTCTAGCTGATTTCATTTCAAATAATTTGTTCTACTTTTAAACGTAAGGAGACATTCTTCAGAGAGTTGTGGCCTTTGTAACAAGATATTTTCCCTCAATTAAGATCCAGGTTTTCCTCACTGCAAAACCAAGCCTCTTTCTCTATGAGGTGCTGGTGCTGGCCACCTCTGATACCCTTGGGGGTGGGGAGAGATGAGGAGAAGACTACTTAACCCTGCCCAGAAAAAGAAAAGGCCATTCCACAGTAGAGAGCACTCACTCAGGAAATGCCTGAGTAAATAAATGGACTGTGCAGCATGCCTTTTTGAAGCCACAAAATCAAGTTCCTTGCGCTCGGAGGAAAATTAATTCAAGTCAAGGGCCTACTACTGATAATCCCCTGCCAGCAGCCACCCTGCCGTATCGTGCCTTGAGTGCTGTTGTTTCACAGCCCTTCCGTTGGTGTTAAGGTCGAACCTAGTTGAAGAGGAAACAGGGAACAGACAGAATTGAGAGATTGTTTAAACAAGATACTCCTCTGTGGGAGTGCTTGATGTCTAAGAAATGACATGGGGGAACTGGTATGTCTAATTGTTCATGGAGATCCTAACAGCGCAGATGTCATAAACTTGGAAAGATGACGATCAGTGGGACATTCCCATGATATCGTCTATTCAGGAAGGATGCAGTGAGCTTTGCTGATAGCTAATAGTTCTGCATATTGAAGACGCTTTGGAGCTGAACCAAAGATAATTTCATCAATGAACAATCCAGACTTCACAGTGGTGGAAGTACCAAGCTTAATTAGGAAGGATATACAATACTGATTCTGCCTAGGTGACTAGCGGCCATGATGTCAACACAACAGGCCGAGTAGAGGGAAGAAATGAGTAGGTGTGGATGACCTCAGTTATTCAGTTTAGAAGAGGCAAAAAATGCATCCAGACTTGACGGAGTACACTTTCAGATGTCTCAATGGCTGTTTTGTGGAGCAGCTGGTTCAGGAGCCCATGAGGGCAATGCTTGACTTTAATCCAGCGTGGTTTAAATGATACGGTGTAGAGAGTAACAGCTGAAGACCTCTGAAATGGGGATCTTAATGTGCTTAGACTCTTCACAGGAGTAAGACAAGCCTGAGTTTTCTACCATTGCTGTGTTCAGCTTCAAAAGGGAAAACTAGACACAGATCAGGAAACTTGTTGAAAGACAGACAGATGGAAGACCTAACTCTTTGCAGGGAGTATGGATATTGCTTCCATAAATCACATGGGAAGCGCAGAGAAAATAACTGTGTATCAAGAAAAACTTGAGAAAGAGTGAAAAGAAGCCAGCATTGGCAGGGGAAATGAGATTGCAGGAGCAAGAAGGCATCCTTCAAAAAGCTGGAGTGGCATCCAGATGAAAAAAACTGAAGAGATTATAAACTCTGGCAAGTTCAATGTACAAACATGATAAGGCTGGCTGAAGGAGTGTGAGGGGCAATTGGTAAAAAGCATAATTAAAATGTCTGTTACCTGTTCAAACACATCGTGAAAGGAAGCCTGCCAAGGAATTGTTGGGTCAGTGGATGGCCAGGTGGCACAGAAGCCCTCTGGGGGTGACAAGGCTGTGCAGTAGGAGTGGGTGAACAATTTGGAGTCCCAGCATGAGCACAGATGTACACTGTAGCATGGGACAGCACTAACTTCTGCCCAGAAGCTTATAGAATTAGCATTTTTTTTTTCCTTATGACATTATATGTACTAGGGTTCCACCGATTCTGTTCTTTTAATATTTTCTGCTAATTTGCAGTTTACAGTTGTCAGGATAATTGATCCCAGGCTAGGGAGTACTTAGAGGAGAAACTGTGTTTGCCTTGTTCTTGTCATCTTCGTCTGAGCATGGAGTTAGGTCTACTGGTGGAGGCAGACAGTGGAATAGATGGACCTTTTCTCTGCCCCACAAATGGCTACACTGATGGAGTAGACACTTTCTAGTCTCTAAAGAATTTGACCTGGAGTTGAGACCAGGACAGTGTATGCATATGGTAGGTTGGTAGTGTTGGTTGGATCCAAGCTCAAAGCAAGACTTGTGCCTGTATGGAGTGCTCTGCTAATGATACACCCTCTTCTTTTTTTCTGTCTGGAAACTTTATCCATGTGGATGCTGAAAATTGTCTGTGTCTGGGAACCTTTGAGAGTGAGATGCTTCCAGATGAGCTGTGTACTCTGGCAAATTCTGAAGATGTCATGGTGTGTGGGATTTTCATCCAAGACATCTTGGCAAGACCTACTGCATGTCTCTTCCATCTAATAGCCAGTTGCAGCATGTCTAATGCATTTGGGAAATGTTAAACCTCACTGTGCCCCCAGAACCAGTGACCTTCCTCAGGAATAAGAAATCTGGCACTTTAGAAAGCTGTGCCACAGAATCTTTGCACATGCATTTGTCTAATTTCTGCTTTTAGGTTGAGTCACTATGTTGATTTCCCTAAACAGACACTTTAACTGTCAGAAATTTGAAATTGCACTAGTTCTCAAGAAGAAACTAGGGTTCAAAATGGATCACAAGCTGAACACAAGTCAGCAGTACCATGCTGTTGTGAAACGGATGGTCACATTAGATACAGAATTGAAACCTGCCAAGTGTCTGCTGTCCTCCTCTTGGGAAGGCCTTAGCTGAAGTGCTGCCCTACTTTTGGTCAATGAGGGAGAATCCAGTGGAGAAGTGCCAAAGTATTTCTATAGTAGGAAATTGCTAAAGGCATAAACGAATTGTTCATTTTTAAACAGTAAAAGTGACATCCTTATTAGATTGCAATACTTACAGTGTCAAAAGATCCCTGTTCAAGCACCTGGAAGACTCCAATTTGGACAAGAGTGCAGGGGTTGGAAATCCTGTGAGGAGGAATGCAATTCTAATACAGAAGTTCTGAGGGTTTTGATGATCATGTGCAGTGGTTTTTTTTGAGGGGGAGCTCTGAACAAGGGAGGTTGTAAGCAATAGAAATAAATTCTGAGACAAACTGGAATGTTTTGGCAGTGAAATTTGGGGGTAATAGCTATTTGTCATCTTCAGTACAAAAGACTTTGAAGATTTGATTTAGAATATTCATAAGGGAATAGTTATAAGCTATAAGCAAGTAGCAATGTTGTTCTGCTATGGAGGCACATCGAGATGTATAAACAGACCTGTAACATGTCAGAGTTGAGTTATTACTTCCACCTTCCTTGAAGCTGGGAAAGACCTCAGCTAAATTACCCTAATTCGGGTGATGCATTTCCAGGAGAAAACTGATGGGATACGAGTATTCAGAGAAGAACAAAACTGCTGAAGAAGAAAAAGACAGTGCTGTGATTTAGTCTAGAGAAGAGAAAACTGAGGAGAGATGGAAGTGGCCAAGTGTTTAGGAACTTGTTGCAGGGAGGCCACAAACAGCCCATTTCGCAGTCCCAAAGCCATAGGGAAGGAAGTAAAAGGCTTAAACAGCAAAAAACATTGCAAATACATTTCTGGAGACATACCTTACTAGGAAGGACAGCGAAGTACTGAAATAGATTGCACAGAGAGACATCAAATCTCTGTTGTCGTCAGCTTTTAAGCACAGATGAGGGAAACATCTGTCAGGAGTGACAGCAGTTTAGTTGATCGCACTGTGGGGCAGAGGGCTGATTAGAAGATCTCAGGAGGTTTCTTCAAGTCTTATCTCCTATGGCTCTAAGGTTTATTTCTTTATTAGCTGATCATTGTCTTGAGTCTCTGAGGAAGTTTCTTGCTTAAATTAAATCTGCTTAATTTTACTTCCAATAGGGTTCTTAAAGAGGAGGAAATTGTTCTGTTTTCTGAATGCTTGACTGCAAACTGTGAATAATTATGACACCCTTATAGAGAGATCACAAGAAGTGGCAATTCACATACATGTTGAAATGAATGGGAATGATTCAGTTT